GGCCAGTTAAGCGATTTACCTTCCCTACAGTTTTGTTGTTGTTTTGTTTTGTCTGACGAATGTAGATATCTAGTTCGACCACGTGACCGATGACTAACGTGGGACTGCCGCATGTTGTGGTCCTGGTTGTCTTGAGAGATTACGTTAACCTGAGAACTGTGTTTTCATGTGACTATAGTGCGTTTCAAATGGCGTGTCCTCATACTTTAACAAATACGAGTACCTCGAAAACTCCTGTGCAGATCAACAAGAATTTGTTTCCTGTGACCTTAGATTGCCCATGACTTTATTATTTTGTAATTTACAATTGCACCGGGCTGCTGTTTTCTGAAAGCAGCAAATTGTTTTGATCTAAGACCCCTTAAACAATATAATATACAGTAATTGATACACTCATCACGAATGTGTGGAAATCACTTCATATGTGCAGCAATGAGTGGCGATTATTTTGATAGCCTATTTCCCATACAATAAACAAATGTGTTCACGCAACTAACTGGAGGCTAACGCTGGAGATGACCACCTTAGAGTGAAACGTTTAGAAAAGTTCCGGTTGCTTAATTAGATGTCAGCATACTGATTGTTTGCTTTGAATCAGTGCCGTCTTTTTTTTTTAAATACCCACGTATTATGCAGAATGAAAACTTGGGGTTTGTTTAAAAAAGTAAAAATTAAGTAAAGGTCAATTTTCCACTCCTTTAGGCGTGTAGGGCATATATGGCTAGACCTATATTTTTATGACCAACCGGAACAAGATGGGTGATGTGGTCAGCATCACGCCGGTTGCCTTTACTTCCCGTCACTGCACCTGGTACCCACTCAAGGCTGGGTCGACCTGGGAGTCAAGGTCATTTCTGACAAAAGTCCGGCCCCGCCAGGGAGCGAACACTCGACCGATCCGCAAGCGAACGTCTAGCCGCTACGCCAAGGGGACACCCAGTGTTTGTGTACCCAAAAAATGTATATATATATATATATATATATATATATATATATATATATATATACATATATATATATACATATATATATATATATATATATATATATATATATATATATATATATATATATATATATATATATATATATATATATATATACATTTTTTACAACGACATGATTATTAACAAGTTGCATACACAATTTCAACAACCTAAACCGAACGGTTAATGGGTTACAGATTCTTAAAGTTAGGCACGATATCTGGAACAGACTATAGTATCTGGGCCAAAGTGTACGGTTTTACTAGTAAAAAAAGTAAAGTAAATGTCCAGTTGCCCAGCACTTGTGTATTGGGCATAGGAGGCCAGACTCATATTTTTACCGACCAAGATTCGATGGGTTATGTGGTCAACTTCAAGCCGGCAATTTTTTACTTCCTAGGACTTTACCTGATTCCCATTTAGGGCTGAGTCGACTTGGGAGGCACGGTTATGAATGAGAAAATATTTCCGGGTCCATGTGGATTTGAGCACACGACCTTCGAATCCGTTGGGGATAGTCTAGCCACTACATCGCGGCGGCTCCCTTTACCAGTAAAAAGGTAATAGTAAAAGATCCCTTTCTTGGCATTCGCAGATCACACATCGGGCGCTTGACCTATGTTTGTATAGACTGTCGTTTGATGATGTGGTCGACTTCACCCAGCCAGCCATTTATGAAAATTCACCTTATTTATCGTCATTAGTATCAAAAATCACTTTTGCTGTTAACCTTGGTGAGCAGGAACAGTTTGCGATCCATTGCTTGATGGGCAGCAATGGCTTTTGTCATCCCGCGTCGATGTAGAAGCTCTTTAATGTCATCAATCCATGTTATCCCAGGGCGGCCTCTTGATTTCACTTCAGATCTTTTTATGTGTGGCGTTGGTAGTTGCTGAGGCTGCCTTCTGACTAGATGACCAAACTATCTGATCGTCCGTTTCTCAATGAATTTGCTGCATTGTATCGTTCCTACTATCTGCATGATAATATCATTTCTAACTTTGCCTCGGATTGTTAAGCTGGCGGCTTGTGTCAGTCTTCTAATTTCACAGGTATTAATTTTACGTAGTTTAGCCTTTGATAATGTCCAAGTCTGGCACTGGTAGCACAGTGTTTGTATGAATATGCTGTTTATATTATGTTTCTTGGTGCTCATATTTATTTTTGATTGCCTTAATAACGATGTCAGTTAGTATATAAGTGCACTTCCTTGTTGGCATCTTGTTTCTCTTTCCTGATATATTCTCCCGTCCTCAGGGAATATACTTCCTAGATACACTTATTAAAATTATTTAACTTGCTTTAGACAAGTACCATTGAACTGTATATGTGGGAGACTGGGAATTCATCCACATAATTATCTGATCCGATCCGAAGGCGGGCGTCTGGCTGCCACTGCCACGGCGACGCCCATTATCTTTGTATTACCCCACCGCAACAGTGTAGAGCTGTCTTTACAGCATTATGGCCCCATAGGCAAATCAGTGTGCTGAGACCCCTACCACAGCCACTCACAGGAACTACATTTATATTTCTGACAGTCACTTTAGGTTCTCGTTCGAGCCGCTGGATCGCAAGGTCGTAGGTTTAGGTCCTAAAGAAGCCGGTCCTCCCCCCCCCCCTCATTTTTAATATTAAAAAAATTACCTTGAATGCCAGGCCGACGCAGTCATAATGGATACCAAGTACAGTCTTGGGAGATAAATGCGGCCAGCATAATGTTAACCACATCACCCACAGAGTACTGACTAGTCTATAATATATAGGTCTAGCCCTATACGCCCAATACGCCTGAGGGCTAGGTAAAGCGCCGGTTACTTTTTACTTGACATACATTGATTAGCATGGGGTTCTACGCTTGTGTGCAGCTGTGAAAACAAACAAAAAGTAGACCAGCCAGCCTTACAATGTAACAAAACCAGACGAAAAGTGAACGTTGCAGCTACCGAGCCTTCAGTGGCATATTACATGAATCAACAAAACTATATGTACAGATACGAATATACAAAAATTACTTAACTGACGTGTTTCCGGCACATAGGTGTACGGCTTCCGAATGCTCATGGGAGACCCCGGGAAGTGCCCAGCGGGCACATGCTTTAAACAAAAGCTCACAACAGACATGGTTGGGGTCCAGCTTAGTCTCATTACAAAAATGGTGCAGGGGTGAACTCATTCTCCCTCTTCATCATCGATTATTTACTAATGTGCGCGACTCAAGCAACAATATTTATATCGACAGACGCCTTTGTTAGAAATACCATGACAATAGTTTGTTGACTAAATAATACAACACAAACAAAATGAACATATCTTCCCACTTCTTCTTCTGCGTTCCACCCTTAAAAGGGCGGTTTTCACTTTGTTATTTTGGTTTACGCCAAGCTGTGATATTTGCTCTTTTCGGCCTGATACGTCAAATTTTAGCAAATCCATAATTATTCGCCTTTTATGACATGCTTACTTAGGTGCAGCATGTTTATTATTTCTTTCTTGATGGGGTGCCTGAGCCCACACGGAAATTTGCTTACTTTTTTATACGATATATTCAGCATGGAAACATCTATCACGAGTATGCTTTTTCTACTATTCCATCTAAGTTATTGATCAATAACGTGTATCTACTAATTTATTCCATGTCTACTATTCCATCTAAGCTAGAGTTCAATAACGTGTATCTATTAATTTATTCCACGTCTACTATTTCATCTAAGTTAGAGATCAATAACGTGTATCTACTAATTTATTCAACGTCTACTATTTCATCTAAGCTAGAGATCAATAACGTGTATCTACTAATTTATTCCACGTCTACTATTTCATCTAAGTTAGAGATCAATAACGTGTATCTACTAATTTATTCCACGTCTACTATTTCATCTAAGCTAGAGATCAATAACGTGTATCTACTAATTTATTCCACGTCTACTATTTCATCTAAGTTAGAGATCAATAACGTGTATCTACTAATTTATTCCACGTCTGCTATTTCATCTAAGTTAGAGATCAATAACGTGTATCTACTAATTTATTCCACGTCTACTATTTCATCTAAGCTAGAGATCAATAACGTGTATCTACTAATTTATTCCACGTCTACTATTTCATCTAAGTTAGAGATCAATAACGTGTATCTACTAATTTATTCCACGTCTGCTATTTCATCTAAGTTAGAGATCAATAACGTGTATCTACTAATTTATTCCACGTCTACTATTTCATCTAAGCTAGAGATCAATAACGTGTATCTACTAATTTATTACACGTCTACTATTTCATCTAAGTTAGAGATCAATCAAGTGTACCTACTAATTTATTTCTTGTCAAATATTTCATCTAAGCTGGAGATCAATAACGTGTATCTACTAATTTATTCCACTTCTACTATTTCATCTAAGTTGGAGATCAATAACATGTATCTACTAATTTATTCCATGACTACTGTTTCATCTAAGCTAGTGTTCAATAGCATGTATCTACTAATTTATTCCTTGTCTACTATTTCCTCTAAGCTAGAGATCAATAACCTGTATCTACTAATTTATTCCAGTAAGAAATAGAGATATTTGCTCTTTTAGATAGTCTTATACCTTTTGTTGTTTGCTGTTGTTGTTGTTGTGTTGTTGTTGTGTTGTTGTTGTTGTTTTTCTTCTTCTTCTTCTTCTTTTTCTTCTTCTTTTCCTTTTTTTTCTGACCCGCTTAGTTCTCCTCTTCATTTATTCTTGCTGCTACTGCTACAAATTTATTATTTGCTGTTTTTTTCCTTTGATATTACAGTATTCATTAAGGAGTTTATTATTACTGGGGTTGGCTAACCACGTCACTGCACGTAAATGTGAGAAATTAATGACACTGACGTCAGCACTAAAGCTACAAATATGTCCGCTGCACTTTCTACACATTCCTTCTATCCTACCTACATCTGAATCTGGCCGTATTGAAGTTATCGAGTCGTGCAGCTGAACGAAATTGTGATATTGATCCTATGGCGAAGCATATGGCACATTACTCTTGATGGACAAAAGTGTCTCCTACGTAAGCAAAAACGGTGGACTGTTATCTCATCGATTTGTGTTACTATTCTGTTCACCTTATCACGTGTTCGATAAATTCCTTTACCGGATTAGTTTATATCGTGGAGAAAATGCGGTTGTTTTTGATTACATATAAACGTGAGCATACACACACCTACGCGCATATACATATATATAGGGACTCCACCATCTTCCATCTCCCGTGTTTCTCCTAGCCATCTGAGCTTTCTAAGACTGAGAAATGAGGAAACTGTTGCCGTCTATGCTATTCCCAATATATCAGTGTTTTACTTGGTCATCTCAACAGATGCGCTTTCTGTGCTTCGATTTCCATTAGAGAATAAACTCATTCATTTGAGATTTGAACTTAGTAAGGTGGCTCCCAAGAGCATATTGTACTCCAGTGTGACATCCTACTGCCGTATACTAGAAAGAAAGAAAAACCGCTGTTAACATTGCTATGAAAGGGGCCGTTTGTGATTAGGAAGACAGTGTAAAAAGGCCATCTAGTATATCAGAAGTGAACAGAATCTGGCCAGAGGTTATTACCACTCACTTGACCAGCATGGTCATTATTCTACGACTAGGGACAGGATATACCAAATTTAACAAGCATATGGACAGGCTTGACAGGTTCACCAGTGCGCCCCTGTGGGCTGTTTGAGCAAACTGCAGAACATACTTCAATTCCCATTGTACAGCCCGTTAAGAAAGGATTATTAGCACAGTGAGTCAACATCATAAACAAAACTTTGTAGAATATATGAGAACTCCAAAATCAGCCAATTGTTATCACAATAACTCGTCTATCGGTCTAAATCAGAGAGTAATGACAAGAAAAAGAAGTAATCATGTCTTGCCACATAGTACCTAGTGTTCTTCGTAAATATGGCATATACAGCTTTGTTGTTGTTAAATGTTACTTATACGTAAATTGCAGTAGTTATTCTAGTGTAGGCACTACGATGGCACCTACCCATTGTGAGCAGAAGAGCTTTATTAAAAATATAATCTGACAATCTGTGATATAATGCACGTATAGAAATAAAAGAACACATGGTGCTAATTTAAATCATCGCCACATAACTACACACTATGAAGTAGTTTTAAATTTGCAGATACCACTGTAACAATGACTATCTTAAAATTACTTTATGTAAGTTGACTGCTGAATAGACATTGTTATATTGCTATATGAAAGTCCCTTGTAACATCCTCTTTGGTGAGTTACTGAGGCCGACCTTTTCTACGATATAAAGATGTCTGCAAACAGGACGTGAATGATATAGGTATAGAGTTGGATGTATAAGACTAGGATGCCATGTACCATGCTGTACGGAGAGGGGGAATTAGAAAGAGAATAGGCTAAAGTAGAAATTGGCTGTAAATAGTTTATGAGCGGTGCTTCTAAGTATAACACTTTTAAATGCATGCCTTGCAAAAGAGGCCCTGAAATCCAAAATCTCACTAAGCAGAACTTTCCCTATCGTGAGTGGGTTTTGCGAGCCACACTGGTCATCGCCTCGGGCTGTGATTCTCGTTCCTGTGTATAGCACAGTATTAGACCAGCATCAAACAAGACTTACAGGCGACAACGATGTCTTGTCAAGTGTTGAGAAGAGAGGTATTGGAGGACAGTTCGATGACTGGTAAGATCACCAGCAGAAGAGACCGATGCAGACGGAGTAAAATAGTGCAGGATGGTCAGATACTGATGGAAGATCAATATTACCAGTATCGTTTGTCTAGAATTCCAGGTATCGAGAATGTGTAGAGATAAAATCGTCTGCAACGCCTGGTAATCAGGGAGTGATTTTTGTGGTGTAGTGAGGAAGATGACAATAACAAGATAGTTATTTAAAAATTGACCTAGTCCGTCATCGGTCTTGCTGACCTGAATGACACTGGGATTGACACCCGGTCTTTAAAATTGATATTCGATAATGTTCTTGAAAGTTTTTAAGAAGACTTTAAGGTTTTTGAGTTGATGGTTTGAACAAGGGATCAACACCACAGCACATGAATAGTAACCCAAAAGTGTTCCATTCTACTTCTAACTCAAGCCTGAGTCTGAAGCATCTCAGCGCGGTGCACGAACTCTGTAGCACCGGCGAGGATCCTAGCATATTTTTGGGTAGATTTTTACCTCCAAATTTTGCTCGTGAGGCGCCGTTCGGCTACTTTTTTCGATTTCCAACTACCAGTGGATTTTTACGGGCGCAACAATACACACGGGCATCCGATCTTACTACCAAGAGACCAAAAGAAAATACTTGAAGTCCACGGGGAAGATCCCAGCCTTCACCGGGTCCTAAACCCGGGACCTCCAGTACTCGAGGCTGACACCTTGCCTCGAGACCACGCAGTTCCGAAAGTGTTTGGAAAGACATAATAACGATGAAAAGAGCTGGTTACTCCAGTTATTCAAGATCTAATATATGAGAAGAGTCGCCTCGACCTCACACCAATAGAAAAATGGCTGCCTTAGTATTCCTGCACACTGAGCCTCGTGGGTGTCGTGGCTAGACGTTCGTTTGACCACTCAAAGGTCTTGTGTTGGAATTCACAGTAGGCAGATTATTAAAAAAAAAAGCGTGCCATTGCTCCCAGGCTGAGCAACCAAAACTGGAACCAGAATATATCCGGGAAGTAAAGGCAACCCACGTAATGCTAGCATCATCCCCCCCTCCCCCACCGAGTTCCGATTTGTCTTCGACAGTATAAGTCTGGCAGTAAATGTTGGAAGTGTCACTGGCGTGGAAGCCCCTTAATTTTTTTTATACTCCTTAACAAATAAGTAAAAGAAACAAACTGCCATTTCTTTTTAAAAATCAGTAAAACAAGCAAAAAGAAAATGTCTCCTCCCCTTCTTCTCCTTTTTCTTTTTTTCTTCTTCCTCCTCCTCCCCCTCCACTCCTTTTTCTTCTTCTCCTCCTCCTCCTCGTCCTCCTCGTCCTCCTTCTTTGAATGGCGGTTGAGACGATGTGTTGTTGTTCACAGCTAGGCTACTGCAGTGTCTGCGCCTTTCTGTCCAAACATCCGGTTTTAACAAGTTCGTAATTAGTCGCCGTTATTATTGTTAAGGGGCGGTAAGTGTATTATCTCCCCCTTCCCATTTACCGCTCCCTCCCCACCTCCTTTTTTCCCAAATGAAACCCGGACCCCATACGGGGAAAACAACAAATGTCAACCTTCCAAAGTAAAATCAGCCACAAATGTCACTTTTTATTTACAATCAGACGCAACTACACCACGCTGAACACATAATCGAAAATCCGCATCACGAAATTGGGTGAAGCGTGCAACACGAGAGATCATTCTCCTTCAAACTCATAATAAATCGGCAATGAAGCATTACAGTGTAAGCTTACCTAAACCCAAACACAGTGAGCGTCCGTATATAAATATTCCATTGATTGATGCCCACGTCAGAAGTGGGTGGGTTTCTTTCACAAATACAATGACTGTATAGATCTATTTGTGATAGGTTCTCGTTTACTTCATTGCTTTTCCTTAGCTAGATCAGTCACTGCAGAATAGCTTGTATTACAAGTTATAACATTAATTGGATTACTTAGCGTTTTATTAATATCATTTTTATTATCATCATAATCATTATACGTATTATATCCTCACTCTCTCAAAGATGTGGCAAACCTAAAATCAGCATGATTTAGCTTTTACGCTTCACTAAGTACGTTTATTAGTTTGCTGACTTTTGGTAATCTTCCGTTCACCTCCTTTAGAATGGTATACCTTTTTATTTTAATGTATGTGAAGCATTTCGCTTGCCATTTCCCCCCTCTCTTTTGGTTAGCTTGTTAGTTAATCGACAGACTAGCCTAACTGCACATCGGACAAGGCCATAAGAGCTTGGCTGTCATCCTCAATGTGTCCCTCATGGTGGAGCCTCAGATAACACCAGGTCTGTGGTGTTTTACTATTCTTCATCGTAAAAAATAAAAATAAAAATAAAGATCCCTTTTCACGCCTTTAGGCGCATCGAGCATTTTTGGAAGAGCACCCATATTTTTACAGACCATCGGCACTAGGCGGGTAGTGTGGTCAGCACGCCTCCCGTTTTTACTTCCACAGGACATACATCCTAGTACACATTTTAGGCTGGGTCGACCTGCGACGCCCTATACCATGATAAAAATCCACGCAGCCAGCAGTGGGTTTCGATCACGGTACATTGGAATTAGGATCATGTATGCTCAGGTCAAACCGTCATGTGGGCTGCCTCAATCAACTCGCATGGTTCTCCAATAAAAACCTGCTGTGCACACTTTGCTCTTGCCGTGCACACTTTGCTCTTGCCGTGCACACTTTGCTCTTGCCGTGCACACTTTGCTCTTGCTGTGCACACTTTGCTCTTGCTGTGCACACTTTACTCTTGCTGTGCACACTTTACTCTTGCTGTGCACACTTTGCTCTTGCTGTGCACACTTTGCTCTTGCTATGCACACTTTACTCTTGCTGTGCATACTTTGCTCTTGATGTGCACACTTTGCTCTTGATGTGTACACTTTGCTCTTGCTATGCACACTGCTCTTGATGTGCACACTTTGCTCTTGCTATGCACACTGCTCTTGATGTGTACACTGCTCTTGATGTGCAAATGCTCTTGATGTGTACACTTTGCTCTTAATGTGCACACTGCTCTTGATGTGTACACTGCTCTTAATGTGCAAACTGCTCTTGATGTGTACACTTTGCTCTTAATGTGCACACTGCTCTTGATGTGTACACTGCTCTTGATGTGCAAATGCTCTTGATGTGTACACTTTGCTCTTAATGTGCACACTGCTCTTGATGTGCAAACTGCTCTTGATGTGCAAACAGCTCTTGATGTGTACACTGCTCTTGATGTGCAAACTGCTCTTGATGTGTACACTTTGCTCTTAATGTGCACACTGCTCTTGATGTGCATACTGCTCTTGATGTGTACACTTTGCTCTTAATGTGCACACTGCTCTTGATGTGCATACTTCTCTTGATGTGCACACTGCTCTTGGTGTGCACCCTGCTCTTGATGTGCACACTGCTCTTGATGTGCACACTTCTCTTGGTGTGTACACTGCTCTTGATGTGCAAACTTTGCTCTTGATGTGCACACTGCTCTTGATATGCACACTTTGCTCTTGATGTGCACACTTTGCTCTTGATGTGCACACTTTGCTCCTAATGCCAGGTTTCTCTTGGTAGTTCTTAGTATAGTGGGCACACCTGCAGAATGTTCTTATGTTTTTGTGGTTCTTTATGACATGCACACAGAGGGGAATGTGCAGTCTTAATTTTATCCATGTGGTAGGTTAGCCTGCTATTTCCTGTTTTTAGTCAAAATCATTGTTACTGTTGGTTTTTTATCTCTATAATCCATATTTTAATTTTGTTTTTTAAAACAGTTTAAAACGTCTCTAAAAGAAACACACACGAACACACACATACACACACACATGTATATATATATATATATATATATATATATATATATATATATATATATATATATAAATATATATATATATATATATATATATATATATATATATATATATATTCACCTATGTTCACCTCATATTTAATCAGAAATGAAATTCTTTGTCCATTATATCATTTCTGTACCATTTGTTGTTTTCGCTCTGTTTGTTACACAATTGGTGTAGTGAATGTCCTGGAGAAATAATATTGATCTCATCAATGCATTTATTGTTAAAGTCTTCACAAAAGAGTGATTTAGAAACACATCTCAGTATTGTTAAGAAGCTAGAAAACTGAAACGTACCAAAACATCGGGTGTGGTATCAAAAGTACAGTTTTGCTCGGCATGTGTCAAACAGTATTAAATGTGAACGAAAGTACCAATTTCGGCAGCCCTGCCGATTACCTGTATCTTTACCAAATTTTACCAACGCTCTTTCTGCTAAACATGCGCAAATATTAGTCATTGATCAGATAACACGAGCATCTCTGTGCTGAATTGTGAATATGAACTTATCTATATCGAATACCTGCTCCAATGCTCATTACAGTCAGTGCTAACACAATTACAAGACTTTTCGCATGCAATACTGTAAATGGTGTGCTTGAAAAGCTCTATTTGGCTTCTAAGTATACATTGATGGGACTGCCAGTTTGTCCGCCAACAAATGGCGTGTACCCTTTCATCATCATCATCGTCCGTTAACCGTTAGACATTACATAGGGCTCAATTCCGTTGTATTGCATGCAACTCTCTCGATTTCTCTAGTTCAGCCTAGAATGTGCAGCTTCTCGTAATAAAGTTCTACTTAATGTTTCCAATGTACGTCCGCTTTTTCAAAGTCCTTTTTCCCCCCATATTTGAGTGCTTGTTTTGTAATTCTTTGCTCATTTCCTCTCAGTGTTTGCCCAGTATATCTCCACTTTCTTTGTCTTATTGTAATCGAAACAGATATTTGTCCAGACATGTGCCCTTACCAGATGGTAATTCGGAGAAGAATAGTAACCCTGAACTACATAGCCCAGGGAGGTACGATACTGCGAAGAAAGCTGCTTCCAGTTGAGTTGAGTTATGAACCGATATCACAGCACATGGAATATTCAGATAAGCGGACATCATAACGAGAATCACTAAACGGGCGCTGAAATAGGTAACAAATAGCTGGAGGAAACTACGACGCGAAAGAGTAAGAGAAGTTTACGACAAACGTTGTTGAGAGAGACCATGTTGGTGCTGGATTTGATGTCATCCATGGTATCGAAATGAATGCACAGGATGAACCGAAATGGGAGACCAGATTGCGATCCCTTTGTGACACATAAGGGCACAAGAGGATGATGATGATGAAATAAATGTCTACATTTTTTATACCTTCTCTAACTCCCTCCCCTCTCTCTTCCCCTCTCACAATCATTCAACTATTCTTCTCTCTCCCTTTAATCCCCTCTCTGATCTCTCCATCCCTTCTCATGTCCCCCCCCCCCTCTCCCTCTCTCGCACACTAGTATTCTTCTATCTCCCTTATATCTCCTGTATAATCTCTCTATCCCATCTCCTGTTCCTCCCCCTCTCTCCTATAGTCTTTTTTCTTCTTCTTGTCTCGTACATCTGTCATTCCATACTGTATACTTGTGTAATATTTCCTTTCTCTGCTCAGTTACATATCACATATCTACCTTATCGACGAAGGCTGAAATTTCTATTCCAATTTTTCTGCATTGCCTTTTACGTTAGACTCTTGTCACCTACAATTTCTGTCTGTTGGTCTGGTCTGTGATAAGAAAAACAATGCAGACAGCTTCGTTGAAAAAAAAAAAACATTTTTGTTTGTAGCTGAATTGTGAATATGAACTTATCTATATCGAATACCTGCTCCAATGCTCATTACAGTCAGTGCTAACACAATTACAAGACTAACGAACGTAGCTAACGAACGCTTGAAAAAAAAAATTTACAGATAATTTGAAACTGTCTTTTATCTTAAATTCGTATGTGCTAAAGAAGGCTTTCTAACAATAACATCGATAATTGTTATTGTGTTTGTGTAAAGCCCAAATTTTACAATTGCCTGCTTGGGTTGATTTATGCATGTCTCTGAAAGAGTAAAAAATTCTTAAGGAGAAACTGATCAATGTAGAGCAAATTGCTTGGTAGAAGAGCATTTAGTAAGCTCAACAAGTAATAAATCCGTCGTTTTACAAGGCGGCACACCTGCACATCCCAGACTAAGGCTAATCCTTGACTGAAATATGAAAACGAACCCTTCAAAAAGAGATAAATTCACTAAACACAAGCTGAGACAAGGATGCGTCAAGAAGTCGTACGTTTCGACCAAGGTCTCAACGTGCCTCACAAGAAACAAGAAGTAGTAGAATCCTATAAACATGCACATGTACATGCATTTGTTGTCCTTATAGGTGTCTGTTATGTTGTGTAAGCACAGTCGATGTCTGGTATCTTTACTGATTGTTCCCATGAGGTGATAGTTATAATGTCTCCTATCTCGGCCTCGAAGGCAACATAGACGTGCTTCACTATGCTTTACTTCAATGACATGCACTGGTGAGAGTGTCAGAAATTCGTCGTATTTCACTAACAAAGTACGTACACAGTTGATAATAACTTCTCTGTCTTTGCTTCTTCCCACATTCGTTGGTGCATTGCTTGTCAGTTAGTCCGCTCATTCGTTACCTTTCGCGCCAGCATGGTCAAATGTATACAGGTGAGGGACTTCAAGTGCGACATTCGAATGCTCACTACACACCCAGGACCGGCCTGACGCTGTCCACATCACTTACCAAGTGCCGTTTGATCTATAAAATATAGGTCTAGCCCTATATACCCAATACGCCTAAAGGCGTGAAAAGGGGTTCTTTACTATACGCTCATAGCATACTTCGTGCTGCGATTTTTATGTCCCTTCTCTTTTTCTTGTTGTGGTGCTCGTTGATAAGGAGTTCGGTCGAAACGTTAGACTGTTTCTTTGTGTATTTTCTCCTCCCTCGCCCTCTTTACTTTTTCGTTGAGCCACCAAGACATAGCTTGTTTTCATAAATCTTATTTATTGATTTAGCTCCACTGCAGCTTTCTCTGTTTTCATCATCCTTAATAAATTAATGAAAGAGTAAATCAACAATTGACATCACTGCGTTCGGGAAATTCCCACGTGTGCTTCATAATAATAGTGGTGGTGGTGGAGGTCGTGGTGGTGGTGAAGATAGTGGCAACGGTGATAGAAGAAGAAGAAGAATTACAAGAGAAAAGAAAAGAAGAAGAGAAAGAAATGAAGAAGAAGAGGAAGAAGAAGAGGAAGAAGAAGAAGAAGAAGAAGAAGAAGAAGAAGAAGAAGAAGAAGAAGAAGAAGAAGAAGAAGAAGAAGAAGAAGAAGAAGAAGAAGAAGAAGAAGAAGAATTACAAGAGAAAAGAAAAGAAGAAGAGAAAGAAATGAAGAAGAAGAGGAAGAAGAAGAGGAAGAAAAAGAAGAAGAAGAAGAAGAAGAAGAAGAAGAAGAAGAAGAAGAAGAAGAAGAAGAAGAAGAAGAAGAAGAAGAAGAAGAAGAAGAAGAAGAAGAAGAAGAAGAAGAAGAAGAAGAAGAAGAAGAAGAAGAAGAAGAAGAAGAAAAAGAAGAAGAAGAAAAGGAAAAAGCAGAAGAAGAAGAAGTAGAAGAAGAACAAGAACAAGAAAAAGAACAAGAACACAAACAAAGAAGAAGAGAAAAAGAAAACGAAACATAAACCATCAAATAAATTAATGCTGTGACGTTAATTTATCCCTAGAAAGCTGTGATGATAAACCTTATCTTTGTAGAGGTAGACACAGAAAAGAGGTCAGCAAACTAGTGATTAGAATGCTGATGATAAGAATGAAGAATAATTATATGTTAGCAAATTTGCATTGAAAAGAAGAATTACTGTACAGTTTGTTATCAAATCGTATATATATATACAGTGGAACCTCGCTTAACGAGCATAATTCGTTCCAGAATCATACTAGTTGAGCGAAACACTCGTTATGCAAAACAATTTTTCTCATATAAATTAATGTAAAATACGATAATGCGTTCCATGTCGAAAAAAATACTCACAAAATGCTATGTATAACGTTTATTCAAAGAAAATTATATACATATTGTTAAGGAGAGTGAATCATCTTCATCTTTTCTTCAAACGCGGAACGAACCCACATGGAATGTGAATTCAATTTGCAGAAAAAAAAGTCGAAATAATTATTATACATAGATAATTATTTTTTTAACTAGAAAGATGTCCAAAGACATTTGTTTTTTCCGACGATTCAAAATTTGGCTAAAATGCGACACAGCCTTATCATTAAATAAATTTGCAACGCACATAGCCCCTTCCTTATTAGGGTGAGGCTTCTCAATATCAGATGCAACAGTTTGCTATGCTTTCAGCATTTCTCTTTTTTCGCCAGAAGATTGTTGCTTTTCTGTTACCCCCTCCTCCTCTGACAAACTTTCCTCCAAAACTTCTTGATGTGAAACACAATGCAACTCCATAAGCTCTTGGGTGGTCAGCTCTTGACTGGGCTCTTCCACAAGCTCTTCGATATCACTGTTATCCACCTACAATCCCATGATAGTGGCCAAAGACACAATCTCATCGACTGCAGGTTCCACAGGTAATGTCTCGAACCCCTTAAAGTCACAAATCGACAAAGCTCTCCGGCCAAAGCTTCTTTTAAAGCAAAAGTTCGGGTTCTCTTGGTAACCCCTTCCCCCGCCTTGTCGATCATCTTGAGGCAGCCAATGATGTGGAAGTGATTTTTTCCAAAACTCTTTGAGAGTGAGGTTGGTACCTTCAGTCACCTGAAAACAAGGCTCGAAGAGTGCTTTAGTGTGAAGCTTCTAAAAGTTATAAATAACTTGCTGGTCCATGGGCTGGAGTAACGGAATGGTGTTGGGAGGCAGAAACTGGATCTTGATAAACTTAAATTCTTCAAATAGGTCATCTTGTAGGCCTGGAGAATTCATGTACATATATCACAATATATAACATAAGTTTGAGAAAATGTGTGATCACAGGCGACACTACGAGGCTACTGGAACAAGTGATAAACAATGATGTAACATGCGCACAATCCGGGACTTCCCCTCTCCTCGCCACTCATTATGCGAAACGTCGCTCGTTAAGCAAGTCATTTTTTTCACAATTTGTTTTGCTCGTTATGCGAATTACTCGTTATGAGAGGTGCTCGTTAAGCGAGGTTCTACTGTATATATATACATATATATGCACCAACATACATAAATTACATACATACACATATGTTTGTGCGTGCGCATATTTACACACTTATGGGTATGTTTGTACATATTAAACAAAATGCAAGCTTTTGCTCGAAAATACATATGTGTCATCAACAGCGACGCAAATGGACATAAAACCTTCATAAAAATGCAAAATATAAAACGATTTACTAACGTAATAATTATAGTAACATGATTATTAGTATAGCAGCACACGAACAATAAACACAGCTGTTTTGTTCAATGTCCACAGCTGAGCATAGATAATAATTCCCAACTACTTACAGCTACGAGGTCGACCCGACTTCTTCAGTTGGTCATCTCATATTTCTCTATTTCTCTTTGAAACACTATAGGGGTATAAACAGAAGCAGCAGATGGAAAATGTATAAAAGAAGTTAAATGTATAGCCGAAGTAAAAACAACATTTCACAGGATCAACAACATTCTGTGATACTGATATTCATCAAATGAAGTATAAAAGAGAGCTCTAAACAGCTTTTAGTACAATCCTGGTTTGTGGAAATGAATTATGGACAGTAAGCGGGTTAGTGAAAAATTATGCGGAAGCTGCGAGATTTGGTTTTATTGAAAATAATTAGAAAACTGTAAACATAAAATACGCATTAAAGAAGTTGTAAAAGAGATTTAACTCACAAACTGGGTACTCACATCTTGCTCTTTTCTTTTAGACCCTGTTCTGCCTTTCAGCATCAGATTCTGCTTTAGTAGCGCCACGTAGATGCTGATATTCGCGTTCTCAGACCGTCCATCTATCCATTGCTTGAGTGGTCTACCTCTTGCTCTGCATTCGTTGTGTTTTAATGTATGGTTCGGACATGTGTCAAGACTATCAAAAGACAGCCCACCACAGAGAGCCCTGTCACTTCGACAAGGTTGAGTTCAGTTTCACCATCAGTTGAACGTGTGTATTTTAAAAATCTTGCGGTCAGTGTCATGACATAGAGAAGAAGGGATATGAAAGCCATCGCAACGCTTTTTGACATCGCCATATTTTACATCTAGTAGTTGTGTTCTCTAGCAGAGTGTCATATCCAACAACATCATGTAGCAGTTCCTTTGAAAAACGTCGCTGTCATCACAGTCTGCCTGAAAGAAACTCGGTCTCTCGCCAGTTCTCCCGCCTCATGCACTTTCACACTCAAGGAGTCACTTATACTTATATCCTGTGCCCATCTTCGTGTCGGTCAGCCCCTGCCCCTCCTTCCTGGTACCATGTCTTCTAATTTTTTCCAATCCGTCGTGGCGCTTGATATGACCAAAATATTTCAGCTTTCGAGAAAGGATGCTGTTTATTAGCCAATCTTCCTTGATGTTCAGATCTTTTAAGATGTCAATATTTCTCAGTTTCTTTGTCCAAGATATTCTGAGAAATTTTCTATAGCATTTCAGCTCAAAAGCCCCTGATCTCTTTCTTAAGGATAGTCCACGATTCACATCCGTATGTAGCCACAGGGAAGATGCATGCTCTCAGAATTCTAATTTTAATCTCCTTGCTGGTGCTTAAATATAGACTTTTAAGGCTGATCAATCTTAGTATCCAACACAGTTCCTTTTTATTTTATATATTGTAGAGAACTGACTCGAAGAAATAAGGTGAAGGTCTGGGCGATGTTTCGCCCTAACGGTTATAACACGTAGAAGACGACAGTGCATTGTGCACGCCATGAGTAGAAGAATATAGAGAATCACTCAATAGGTACTGAAATGAGAAACCAATGCCTGAGTGACAAGGCTGTCTGTAATGAGCTATCTTGTGGTAGTTTCAACTCATGTCCGAGCCATTTCATTGTTGCCTCTTGATGTAGTTTACATTGCTTCCGTCCCCATTAATTTCCTGATATTGCTATTTCCGATTCACTCTTTTCCTGTTTTATTTAGGATATGCGTCGTAGAAATTTCATTTCAGTTT